ACACATCGTTCACCTTCTCTATGACCAGACAATCTCAACAACTACGGATAAAATACAACGGAAAGATTACAATACTGGAGGACAACGATGAAAGACACCACTAACTATGGGTACATATTTCCAAGGCAACTAATCTACTTTATCGGACCACACATCTTCATTCCCGGCCTCGGTGGATTCTTTTACCGCCCTGACTATGGACCTGCCTCCTCTCTGGGCAGTGGCTGAGTGAGGGAAAGCAAGGGCTCTACTTCTGGTACCTCCGAGGGTGGAGATGCTGACGGTACTGCAACACCGATTATCCTTCTTTACGGCGGGTGGACAGGGATTTCCTCCAAGATCAAGGGATCATGCCTTTCAGCGGCCAGCGCCCTACGCTTGGCCCTAGTAACAAGGTAGGCCTCTCCCAACTGATGGGCATGCCGATCTTTAGCCTCCTTTAGGGCTTTCGATATGGCAGTCTCCCGACTCTCTACGGCTGCCACACTGGCATGCGCTTCAGCGGCTGCACCAGTGTCACGCTCGTGTGCACGCGAGGCCAGGGCACAGCTCGGCCAGACCGACGTGCAGCACGGGCGGCGACGAGACCACCGCCGGCAAGGTCACACTTGGCGACACGCGATGCGATGGCACGAGCACCACCCACGCCGCGACGACAAGACATTTCGAATGACGGTGATCACCGACCGTCCGAACGGCTGCCCTAGGTGACGTGCACGCATTTTAAAGCGCGTCTAAAAACTAACCTAACATAGTTGAAGCTAACCTTGACCATGCTAACGAGGGTACATCAGTCTACCATAAGGAGAAAAAACACGACATTGACCTTTAGCTAGATTTTCCAGAATTAATTCGCCAACATGGCATTGTCACACTGTTTTCAAACTTAAAATCTCTTCCAAGTCTTGAGCTGAATTTGACTTCAAGTTTCATTTCCAAGCCATTAGAAATATTAGCTAGTCATATTATTTTTCTACAGCAAGAGTTGTATTGTCATGTACAAAGTTTCTATTTCAAACTTTATTTATGTATCGCACACATGTTCTATAGTATTTTTGCTTAATAAAAATTGATTTTCAATCCTACTTGATATACATGAGCTATTGAATCAACATTGATTTAATATTTTTATTGGTTATTTTAGGTTACAAAAAATTTATCAACGCCTTCTATCACATGCATTATTACATAAACATGATGCTCATGACATGATTTAGCAGTTTGTTTAGGGCGTAACACCGAGGGTGTTACACCTACGAGCCTTACCCCCAAACCTCTTGTCACGACGACGCACATGACCGGTGGTGAGGAGAAATCAAAGTTGACCACTAACAGACCATGGCTGGGCTCGATGAGCATAGGACACCTAGCTAACTTCCTAAGCTACTCACTGGTACGAGGAACTAGACTGGGAAGCCTTGAGTTGGTGATTAAGAAGGGAGAGATATCAGTGCATTGCCACTGCCACGTCGCGGAGAGCGGCCATGGTTGAAGTGGCCCAGCCAAGACCCGACAAGGGCATGGCAGCGCAGGGATATGACCGCACGAGCGAGTGTAGGAGGCGTGTCAGTTAGTGCTCGGATGGAGCCACAAGGTGTGCCTGCGCGCGGGACGCTTGGAATGTAGTAGCCGGACCCAAGCGGGGCTCACCAACGTCGACTAGCGGGGCAGGGCGAGGCAAAGAGGCATCATCGTCACCACTGTGATCGGGGTCAATTGACCGAGACACGGTGGCAGCGGCACAGGCCCGCGATATGTGAATCATAGGGTGGGGCGTCTGCCACGCTGACATGGCAACGATGGCGGCAGCCTCGGCTAGATTCCACGCGTGGCTCAGTGGCCAAAAGGGGTGGCGCACGCACGCGGCGACAGTGGGGGACAAGCGACAGCGGCATCGCGACAGTGCCTCGCAGCGCGGCCGCGCAACCGCAGCACCGACGTAGCGTAGCGACAGCACAGCGCAGCGGTGCAGCGCTCGTGTGCACGCGAGGCCTAGGCACAGCTCAGCTGGCCCGACAACGAGGTGGCCGCGGTGGTGAGATAGCAACACTATGAATTAGCCGAGGCAAGCAATGCCGCAACGGGTAGGTGGGATGAGTGGAGAGGCGGGTGCCACGATGGCCCAACGGTAACTGCCGCGGCGTCGGCTGGCTCCGCGTGCAGCCTGGCCGGTAGCGTGCACGCGGTAGTCACGCTTCAGCAGCACCGCAGCTTGGCCTAGCCCTACGGAAGACGGCTGGGGCCGTCGCAGCCCGGCGCGCGGCCGGTAGCCAGTAAGGCCGACCACGGCACGACCATGGCCAAGAACGGCCAGGCAGCGGCCGCCTGCGCGTGAGGTGACTGCAGACCCAGGCCAAGTAACAACGAACGGTGACGTGCACAGATATTAAAGCGACACAAAAACTGCTGATTAACTCGACTAAGGCTTAACCAAATGTACTACCCTAAAGTTGACATTATCATCTATCTAACAAAGCAATCTTCATGACAAAAGGGCAACCAGAGAGGAAGATAGAAGCATGCCAACACGAGCTCGTTACGCTGAACGTCACCACAACATGATTTCACACATTTTAACTTCGTTTGAGCAATTTTAAAGGAGGACAACGTGAGGTACAACACATCCACGACCCACACCATGCCCAAGTGCTCACTTAGAAGCAATCAATAATACAAAAACATACAGCTAGTGTTTAAATATTTTTGTTAGAAATTAAATGTCAAGATATCATTGTCTTATTACTTTTCCTATACTTAGAAAAGTTAAGGTTCAGTTCGAACTAACAGTCATTAACACTTTTGTTATAATTTTTAAAAGGCCTAAACCCTATTAACTCCAACCCACAAGTATTTTATGCAATGATCCATACTTCATACTAACCCATAGGAACAAAATATTTAAGCACTAATTAATTATTTCGTCCACAATAAATCGCCAAAAATAGTACTTTAAACATAAGTTCAAGTGTTTGCCGACTTAACGAAAAGAGCTTATCTTAACTTCAAATTTGATTTTTAAGCTCCCAAGAGCACTAGTTAACAATATTTATTTTGATTTTTCTCAACCACAAAAGTGAGTCACATAGAATTTGTTTATCATTTCAGGTAAGTTTTAAACTCTTAAGCCAGCGAACTTATTTTGCTAATCTCTTTTAGGTCTTAATCTTGGTGCTAAGCATGCTCGTAACACCAGGGGTGTTACAGGAGACCCCGCCATCTCCATCTCGATCTTCTAAGAAGCTGTCCATCATGGACGAATCGAATCCTTGCTGCCACGAGCCCCTTCATGGACGACAGAGGGTGCCTCCGGGCGCCGCTGGATGCCACGAGCCCCTACCTCTGGTTCGCGCAACCCATCCTTGCTGCCAGCCGCATGCCTCGCCAGCCGGAATCGGTTGCACGTACCAGCCATCTCCCCTGCCGAGAAGTGGCGCTCACCACGTGTTCGACGAATTATCTCAAAGGCTGTGAAGTTACCTGTACAAAGAAGAGATGATTCTATCCAAGCTAAATCAGCCAACCAAACACACTAGTTGCTAGCCAGGCTTAAATAGTGTAGGCAACAAAACAAGTCCATCTTAGCTTGCTGGAGGCGGTCTTAGGCTTGACTTATTTCCTAGCCAGGCTAGAAGGAAGCCAGGTAACAAAACACACCCTAGGTGGTCACCGCCTCACTGGGCTAGGGTGGGTGCTGGAGCACTCATGTCTCTAGGCAGCCATGGCTAGAGCTTTTTTTCTCTCTCTATGCATCCTACTATACCTCCTCAGCAGTTTATTGATGGCCTTTTTCTGTTTTCCTTTCTTCTTTTTAGTTAGATGCATAAATTTATATTTCACTAAATACTTTTTAGGAGGCAATAGGTGATCATTTTTTCGGATGTATTTAAATGGAGGACCCGTAGTTATTTCAAAGTACGTACCGTGCAGAACCTGATTTTTATAGAATTGCTCAAGAAAGCTAAGAGACTATCAATTTGTTCACATGACCCGTAACTATTTGTGGTTGTGGGTCATCTTCGAGTGCGGACCTGCCAGCGAAGATGGACTTTGAAAATATGTATAAGATGCTTTAGATGTTTTTGTTTTTTACACCTAATATAAATTGTTTTCACAAGAAGAGAATGCAAACATAGTCAGTTCTTATCTAAAAAAACAGAGTCAGTTGAATTTGTTACTTTTCACTTAGAACCTTCAGGCCTCCTTTGAAAGATAGGAATTGTTCATGTTTCCTACGTTTTTCATGTATAAGACCAACTCCAAGAGTATATCCTTTCTAAATAATAGGAATAGAGATTTTGGTAAAAAATTATCCTCCAACAGCTTTTCTAAATGGTTATCCAAATATATCCATCTTCTATTCCTGATTTTTTGTTAGACAAAAATAGAAGAGGAGAATGACTCCGTGCATAAGATATTGAAAAATTATTGGAGAGTTAAAAGATACAGAAAGTGATTTTTTATACAAACGACTCTCCAAATAATGATTTAGACAGTGATATTTACAAAAGCTCTTAGAGATGCTCTGAAAATAAAACCGATTCATGTAAAATTCCCGTAGGCAATCAAACCATGCATCGTTGGGTCCATCCGCTCTGGCATTGTCAAAGTGTGAGGCCCTGCAATGAGACTCAATCTGTCACTACGTAAGAATTAGCACGAACCGCTCTGGCAATGATAGGTGCTCAAACATGATGAGAAGCTCTTCTTACTGACTTCAACTGACACTCCTAGATGCAATTATGGCGTATCATATATACTCTTACACGCGTTTATATCGAACGGATCCACAGGTTCATTCTCTGTCCCTCTCCCTCAATCATACGGGTGGATTGTACTTTTGCAGTAGCTATAGATAGATACTACGGAAATTCGTTTGAGCCGGAGCTGACGAATGGCTGAACGGTGCAGAATCCTATACACGACCACGTCATGGTCATGGGGCGCGATCACGATACGCTTGAGCTCTGCCGGAGATGTCCAAGTCTAGCCGACCAGCTAAGCTACGCATCGAGGCACCAGCAGCGATAGTCCGGCGTGGAGAGGCGGAGGAGCTCCTCAGGCGTCATGCGCTCCAGCTCCCGCTGCCTCCACGCCGGGAACGCCTGGTCCGCGGTCGCCGCCGGTGCGTCGGCGTCCCCGCCGCCCCGGGGGTGCTGCTGCCCGCGCATCCTGCAGTAGAGGCGCATGGCGGCGACGCAGTCCTCGAAGGGGTGCTGGTGCCCCGTCTGGATCTCGTAGCCGAGGTACTTGAGCGTGAGGAACCTGAGCGAGTTGCTGAGCTTGCTCGTCTTCATCAGCGGCGGGTACGTGGCCGTGTCGCGCTTGAGGTAGGCCGGGTAGTCCATGCCCAGCGCGTCGAGGTCGTGGTCCAGGCCGTGGCCGACCAGCAGCCTCGCCCTGCCCCGGCTGGTGCGCACCTTCCAGGAATGCTCGCCGTTGAGCAGCAGCTCCTCCACCCGCCGCTGCGCGTTCTTCACCGTCGTGCTCACGCCGTCGCGGAGGTGCTCCGGCCGGATCCCCGTCGTCTCGTACCGGTACTGCGTCACCGGGAGGAGCGGCTTCACGAAGGCCTCGAACAGGATGTTCTCCTGCTCGTCGATGACGCACACCCGCGCGCAGACGTCCAGGGTGCCGTCGCTCCCGGCGCCGACCATCTTGCAGCCCAGCGCGAGCGCGCCTCCTACTCCTTGCGGCTGCGTCGCCGGAAGCTGGTGATGCTGCAGCGCCCTCGACATCGTCGGCGGTGGGGTGCGCGAGAGCCTGCACGCCGCGCGGTGGGCTCTGAGCGCGGCGGCGCTGGCGAGGACGCGGTGGCAGACGTCGCAGCCGCGCGCGGCGAAGGCGTCGGCGCAGTTGGCGGCCTTGGGCAGCGTGGAGCCGCCGACGCCGAGGTGGTCCCTGAGCGCCTCGAAGGAGCGGCAGTGCTTGTGGCAGATATCGCAGCGGGGCTCGTGCGCCGAGTGCCGCGCCGCCCGCATGTGCTCCACCAGGTGCTCCATCTTGTTGAACTGCCGGAAGCATGCCGCGCACTTGTGACGCCTGCCAAAAAAACAAATCACAGGAATGCGTTACTTCTCGAGGGACTTGTTGTGTCTGTGTTTGCTTAGTTGCTTGCATCAGCAATTCAGCATAGTTTTACTTTTCTTTTTATACAGGATTCCCAGCATATGTTCATAGTGCTGATCATAAATATGAGTTCAGTTAGATTTTGTTCAAACTTAAAAAATGCCTTGGCATTTGGGTGGAGCTACACGGCGGAATAGATTTCACAACCAGGCCTTCAACCGGAGGAATGGCCGCCGACCGAAAGTGCCTTTGAGTGGTGGACTAAAATCACCACCATAGCAGATGTCCCTTGCAAGGCGGTTAGGAGTATTGCCCTTCTTATCATTTGAGAGATTTGGAAGGAACCAAACACAAAAATCTTCGGGAAACGTGAAACAAGCCCTCTATCTCTTTTTGCACAAATCAAAGCCGAACCAGGATCATGGATAGCGGTAGGAGCAAAAATTCTTGTGATTTTAGTGTTGAGAGAGTAATCTTCATAGTTTGTTTTCTTTCCCATTAAAACAAATTGTTTGTTTTCTCCTATATCAATGAAATAGACACACTCTCATGCCCCGTTCGTTAAAAAAAATGTCGGGTTTTCCTTTCAATCTGTGTCCATTTCATGGCGTGCAGTGGGAAAAAAAAGCTCAAAGAGATCATCTCCGAGAGAGTGGTCCTCTAGTGGAGCTCTATATATGACTTCACGCTTTTTCCCCTTCTTTTCGAACTTCTATTTCAAGCTTAAACTCACTTTTCTTCTCTATCAAACATGCCACACAAAACTCCTGCCGGTCGTTCGAAAAGAAACTTTAACTAGCAAAGTAGCAATAACTACAAAGAGTTATCTTAAATGAAAAGAGTTACTATGAATTATAAAGATAATGTTCACAATGGTTCTAGTAATGCCAATTTTATGCTGTCAACCTACAAAAAACTATGGGACATGCTATTTGTTAGGTGCCTGAAATTTGGCCTCGTCTCAGGCGACCAACGCGAAACGTTTGATGGGAAATCAACGGTAACTTTCTACGCCCTTGGCCTATTGCTACCTGTCTAGGGGAGTTGTTATTAGAGAGGCCGTCAATAAAAAATCAAGCCCAGAAGTGCCTGTGTCTAGTTTAAAGTTTTTTCGATGGTTGCAAGAAATGCCAAGTATAGAAATACCCTCATCATCTAGGAGAACCTTCCCCAATCTGAAATTCCCGTCACCTGAAATCTCAGCACTTTTCAGGCACCTGAAGTGCAGGAAGAGTGAAAAACTATAGACATTGCTGGTGAAACCAAAAAATGACTTCGAACAAACACAGATGGGCATATATTTTTGTGATAGAAGTGGTTCATAAAATCCAGTTGTCCCAAGCATGGTAGCATTTACCTCAAAGGAATGTATGTTGAGGCATAAAACATACATATAGTTGTGACCTCAAACTCAAAGAGCAGCAGCAACTCACCCATGAGCTTCTGAGGAGCTATCCATCGTCACGTCTACGGTGCACTGAACTGCTTGGTTGGTCGACCGATGATCTGTCAGCAAGAGCCTGTACACGGGTGCCTATTTATACTAGGCCGGATGGAACTGGATCCTCTGTCGCCATTGTGCTGTCACTGTAATAACACTCATGTTCGATCATCGCGAGCGACTGCCACTGCTGCTCACTCACTAACTTTACCACAGCTTTCTGCGGTGTGTGGCATGCAGACATTGTTCTGATGCTGGCAGCCTGGCACAATGCTAATATGTCCTATGCTATTGCTATGCACAACAGCACATCACACTTTTATCTTCATGAGATGCAGAACATCGGTACCGGCCGTGGGTATAAACTCTCGCCGAAGAATTTGCCATGTGCTAGCAAGCTAGCCATGTATGTGTTGTACATTGGTTTTTGTTGCCTAGTAGTATAACTGATTTCCTAGATTGTTGTATTAGTAGAATATTAGAAATCACTGCTAACCTTCTCTGATGCCTAATTAGGATGGCTGTTCCGACTCCCGGCGTTGTACTTCTACAAGATCTTCATTTGTCACCATGTTCTGCCACAGTGGAATACTGTAAAATCATAAGTGTTATTTATATGCCTTCTAATCTTCTCCAGCATCATCGCACCAATGCATCCAATTCGTCGGGGGCGAATCCAGCAGGGTTTTGTCGGGTCCGGCGGCCCCGACGAAATTTGTAAATCCTTTAGTAAATTACTATTTAAGCTTAAGAAAATTTATATGATGCAATGAAGTTGACCCCGATGACTCTAATGATGTTTTTCGGCTAGATTCGCCACTGCAATTCGTTCCCTAGAAAGTGTATATAGTGTACATTTGTTTGTTTGTTGCCTAGTGTAACCGATTCCCTAATGTAACTCCTTTTTTTTCCCCTGTGTCTCTTAGTCTGAACTGAACTATCGTAAAGAAAGCTCGAACAGCATTTTGTGAGTTATCAGACATAGCTACCGTACTTTTATCCTATCTCTGCTTTCTACAAAGTTGTGGCCTGTGGCTGTCTGGATGATGCTTGATGCCTTACCTACTTGCAAAGATGAATGTTGCCTTGTGCCTGTGCCTGTGTCTGTGTCTGTGTACATAGGGGTTCCATTCCATGCACTGGTTCGCAGGCTTAGCTCATCCATAGTAATCCTGTTGATGCAGGGCATTTTGTGTGAATAAATGCCCCGCTGTCAGCATGCATAATTCCAGTTGCCCTTTATCAGTTAGGCAGTTATCAAGCTATTCATCCAGTATTTTTCATCCACACCTTTCTATTCTTATCTTAAATTGCAGGCTGCGAAATTAAACATTCAGTGGCACTGAAAATAAAACTGCAAATTTGCTAATATTTAGAAGTTGCTATTAGTAGAAGTGTTGAGCACAGCAGCTGGAGTGCTGGACTGTACGGCAGATGGATGCACACGGCAGATGGACTGTCCCAGCCTGCAGCCTGGAATGAGACTCAGAATGAGAATGAAGGGAGCAGATGGGTGGCTTCAGGAAGAAAAATAGAGATTCCTCGGTCAAAAAAGAAGGTTTTGGAGAAGGATTAAGTCCATTTTTGGACCTTCAACTATTGTATTCGTCTGATTTTAAACTCCAACTACAAAACCGTCTAGTGTTGATATCATAACTATCAAAACCGTTCACTTTTAGCACCTGGACGCGGAAGAGGCTGTTTTGTCCGACGGGGAACGGGTTTGACCATGCCATGCTGGCATTGACCGCCACGTAAGACGCTGGTCTGCATCTCAGTGACATGTGGGGCTCACGCGTCACCCACTCATTCCCTCCCCTCCTTCCTCCAGCTCCAGCAGCATTCGGACAGTGCAGTCGAGTCGTCATCGCCGCCACCGGACAAGCAGGCTGCTGCGCCATGGCCGGCGAGCGCAGCTGCTACGCTGCAACGAGGCGGGCGAGGGCCGTCGAATCCGCTGCCCAGCTCGTGTGTCGTCTAGCTCCGCCGTGCTCGAGCACCACCAGCCGCGCACTGTAGCCGCTGCTCCCCTTGCAATCATTCGTCGCCGTCTGGCTGCCACGCCGCCGCTGAGCAAGCGTGCGCGCGCGCTGCTACGTCGGGCTAGCTAAGCCGCCGTCGGGCTCACGCGCTAGGGCCACCGGACGAGCACGCGGCCGCGCCATGGCCAACGAGAGCGCGCGAGCGGGACGCCATGCTGCTGCCTCCACTGGCTACCCCCGGCGGAGGCGCCCGCGGCCTGCGCCCCCTGTCCCTATGCAGCTTCGTTCTGAGACGGACACAGCCAAGGCGTCGGTTGAGGTGGAGGAAGTCCGAGCAGGGCTGGCCACGTGCGAACCGGTGGGACGGCGGCGTTCTGAGACTAGCACGGCGGGACTTCAAATTCGTCGTCTATAGGTCACGGATGGCTCTCGATGTGGGCAGGGCAGCTAGGTAACTCCCATGGCTGCTTATTGGTGGAAGGAAATGAGTTGAGATGATCCGGACTGCACGAATTTGAAGAACGAAGGAAGCTCTGTTTTCGGCGTCAATGGCTCTAGCAAGGTGACTTGACTGGGCGTGCCGCGACCGCTTGTTGCATGCGTAGGTGGACGTCCTCGTCGTGCCCTACACGCCAGTCCCAGCTAGCCCCGGCCTCGCCTCGACGTTGTTCGGCTACAAAAGCCGCAGATGAACGTCGGGACCGTGCCCGACCACCATTGTTGCCATGACCGAGCTCGCGGATGGCTGCGCCCTCTTTGCTGACTCCTTTCCTTTTTCTTGCTACGTTTTGGCTCCGTCCTTCTGCCACGCACATGCCCTTTGAGCAATTTGGACTAAGGAGGCGCTGTCCGACGGAAACGCCATGCGCCACCGCCACCGTGAACCGGCGAGCTCGGTTGCGGCGCATGGAGGCGGCGTCCGCGGCGAGCTCGGCTACGGCGCAAGGAGGCGGCGTCCGCGTCCGTAGCCTGCTCGAGCGCCACCGCCCTGCTCGCGCGCCACCGCCGCAGTCTGTTCGCGTACCGCCATGCTGCTTGCGCGCTGCCGCCGTAGCCTGCTCGCTGCCGGTGACGAGAGGAAAGAGAGGGGCCAGCTTGGCACGATCAACGCCAGCGTGGCATGATCAAACCCATTCCACGCCGAACAAAACAGCCACTTCCACGCGCAGGTGCTAAAAGTTAACGATTTTGACAGTTAGAGTGACAACACTAAACAGTTTTGTAGTTATATGTTAAAATCAGACGAACACAATAGTTGAGGACAAAAATGGACTTAATCCTTTGGAGAAAGCAGGAACAGGGACCGATCGGACGCAGATTCGGCAGATTCAGATGCGATTCCCATCGGAAATGAAATCTTTTTGGTCAACAAAAGCAAGAAATGCAAAGGCGCGAAGGATGCCGCTGGGAGCAAAAGAAATGATTGGCTGGATCTTTTGGCGCCGATCGATCCGCAGGGGGGATATGCTGTGAACATACCGCGCTCCTGCCTGGGCTGTTAGTGTTGGGCATGAATGGAGATGGGAACACGGCATATATCTTTGCCGGTTGCTGCATCTGTATGTGTTCGTGCGTAGCGGCCGCGTGCGTGCGTGCGTGCGAGCTGATCGGCGATGCTCTCGCTGCTTTGCCCTTTGCCGCTTTGCTCGATCGTGCCGTGCGGAATAGATTCACAAAGCAGCAGGTGCAGGTAGCAACTAGCAACTAGCACAGATGTCGATGAAAGCCATAGCCATGGGCTGTGCCATGGCTTGGCATGTCATGCAGCTGCTTTATTTATTTATTAGTTTTGATCGATGAACTGCAAAGCTGCTCTAATTAATTTGTAATACGTCGACCAAATTTAAGTCACTACCGGAATGCCAGGTTCGCCGTGTGCCACCAAATTTAAGTCACTACCGGAATGCCAGGTTCGCCGTGTGTCCACGGCACACGGCGAAGCTCAAAAAACACTCGGTAAAGTCTTTGCGAGTGTTACGTCACTCGGCGTACACAGAGTCGGCAAACATTTATTTGCCGAGTGTTTTTTATCGGGCACTCGGCAAAAACTTTGTCGAGTGCTAAAACCGACACTCGGCAAAGACTTTTCAAAAAATATAAAAAATAAAACCCATCGCCGCCTGTCCGCGGCTCCCCCCGCCGCCACCACGCTCGCCGCCTGCGGCCGAGGCGAGGAGTCGGCCGGCAGGGCGCGGTCCTGGCCCGCTCGTAGCTTACCCACCGTGGCAGTGGCCAGCTCGCTGCCTGTCCATGTTCAACGCAGAAGGGGAGGGAGCAGCAGCTTGCGGCAGCGGCTTCTGCAGGTCTGGGAGGAGCGGCTGCTGCCGGACCTGAAAAGGAGAATAGGGAAAAGATGACGGCGCGGCTATGGATCTCTAGGCGCGACGGCGGTTGCTGACGTCGAGGCGGGTTGGCTTCCTGGTGGTGGCGGCGGCTCCGTCTCAGAGCAGACGAGCGCGCTCGCCATAGGGTTCAGGGTAGGCCTGCTCCTGGTCGATGCCGACTCCGACGTGCACGTCGCGATGTGGGAGGAGGGCGTGGTGCCACCCGCGAGCTACGCCTCGCCGCACGTCTCCTCCGCCATCGTGTAGATCCACCCGCCGGCCACGCTTGGCTACCCCTGGCCGTGGTCGCGCCGGCCGCGCCCGCCATGAGAGGAGGGGAGGGGGCGGCGCCAGGAGAGGGAGACAGGGGGCGCCGGGAGAGGGATGGGAGGGGGCAGCACCGACGGGAGAGGGAGGGGGCGCGAGCGGGAGACAGAGGGAGGGGAGGGGGCGACGGCGCCGGGAGAGGGAGGGTGGGGGGGGGGAGGGGCGCCGGTAGAGGGAGGGGAGGCTTGTGGGAGGGAAGGGGGCGGCCGGGCGAGTTTATAAGGTTGTGAGTTTGCCGAGTGCCAGATCAGGGGCACTCGGCAAACCCTTTTTTATTTTCCTTCTTTTCCACAACGTGTTTCAAGGTCAGAATAGAAAAAAATGAAATTATTTGCCGAGTGCCAAATAATTATACTCGACAAATATATTTCTTTGCCGAGTGCCA